GGAAATGACTGTTTCTAAACTTTTTTTTTCATACTACTGAATTATTTTTTCCCATGCTTCCTAATGCCTTTGGTTGGGGTAGAGAGATGGGGAGGGAGAAGGTGTATCACTGTGGTCAAATTTCAGTACAACTTAACAAAGAAAAGAAGGTGAAGGAATTGCTGTGGATCTGATCACTGCAAACTTCAGACCAAACACCAGGGATGCTGGAACAATTTGTGTAGTGGGGGTGCTGACAGGTGTTGAAACACACTATAAACCCTGTTTATAATGGAAACCACTTCAAGCCAGCAACACCACCTTCACCTCCTAGTTCTAGCACCTATGCAAACATCCTTCATTATATGGGGCATGTTGGATAGGCCTACTCATTTTCACCTTATTATTAAAAGCACAAGCACTAATTACAGAATCCCCATTTTCCTCTGTAAGCTAAATCCTCAACACAGTGCAGTCTTGGGGGTTGGAAGAAAAGGGGATAAGGTATGTCTGCCTGACTACACCAAAGAGAAATGTGGGTCCTAATGGAAGTGAAAGTGGATTTAAGTGGTAAAGCAATTAATGAAGATTATATCTCACTTCACACCTACTGATAACAAAATTGGACGCTATTAATCACAGCAGTTACCTCCTGTGGTTTGTGTATTTCCTCCTGTTCGGTCTCCTTGTCTGAGTTTCCTCTACAATCCATAATCAGGAGCCTACTTGAGCGCACGGGAGCCAGTCAGCAGTTCGCCTACAGTCCCTGCATGCAAATTAGCAGGGTTGCAGCTGAGAGATTCCTTACACGTAGATTTTAGCAATGCCACTTTAAATTCTCCTAAATTAAGATGTTAAAATTCTCCCAGTCTCGTGTAAACACAGACCGCGAGTCCGACCTGCTTGTTTAACAAGAGCATGCGAGTGCAAGGCGTCTGTCACCCCAGAACGACACAGTGTTTCGATAATAACTCAAGAATAGAAAGTCACCGCAGACTAGTTACCGAGTACCGGCAGAAGGCGAAATCATGCCTGCGGGCGGAGTTCTCCAATGCTCCATTGATACCCCTCGCAGCCAATCACAACCCAGGCACCTCTGCGCCTGCATTCCGATTAGGAACACTGGCAAACACGACGTTCCAAATCGGAATGTTTGGCGCAGCGGCCCGGAGGAGGTGGCTGGCTACTGCGAAGATGAACACATCGGAATCACGGGGTTTTGGAAGGCACTTCTGAGCCGATTCAAAGCAGGGCCGGGCACTAAATTTGCATTTGAGACAAAACAGCGTTTTGAGAGGCGCAGGGCTCCCAGCACGAAAAGAGCCTGCGAGGGGGAGGGCAGAGCACGGGGACCACGTCTTTCAAAGGTTGAACAGTGAAGGGAGGTAACTCAGCTCAAGAGAGCGACCACCCAGGCAAGGCAAGGCAAGAGCTCCCAGGACACTAGCGGGCGGGAAGCCGGCAAGAGAAACGCTCCATCAGCACTTTTCACACCCACTGGAGCTGCCTCTTGTGCTTCTTGAAGCCACGGCACAAAAACAATAAATCCGAAAGGCGGAGAAAGCAGGGGGG